TATACAATCCAGGATTGTATTAGCTTTTTTGTTTGCTGCTGCACACTGCTGGCTCAGATACGGGTTTCTATATATATAGATTTAATGACAAGCTTGACTTAATTTTCCATTGCTATGTATAGTCGTTATATGGATCTCTTTCCTCTTTTAATTATCTTTCTTATTTCATTCTTGTCGTATCACCCTAATATATCTAGGCTTTCCTTCTTAACAGTTCAGCATAATCATTCTCTTTATCTTTACCTTTTCCCTGTTGCATTTTGCTAAACAACAACAACAACAAAAAGAAGAAGACGACGGTGTTTACATAAAAGACCAATTACTAGCCCATATGATGGCTTCATGAGATGATTCATACAACAGGCTAAGGTAGCGTTTGTCAACTTCAACAACTTAAAGATGGGTAGATTTCAATACCCAGAATTCTCCAGCCAGCATGGTTGGCTGAGGAATTCTGGGAATTGAAGTCCAGATGTCTTAAAGGTGTCAAAGTTGAGAAACTTTAGATTACAGCAAGCAGGAAAAATTTGAAAAGCAGGAAGGATTCTTGTTAAACATTTCTCCTATTGATCATTTTCCTCCCTCCCTCCCTCCCTCCCTTCCATTTCCTTCTTTCCTCTCTCCCTCCTTCTTCCTCCCTTCCTCCCACCCTTCCTCCCATTTCCTTCCTTCCTTCCTCTCTCCCTCCTTCCTTCTTTCTTTCCTTCCTTCCTCCCATTTCCTTCCCTCCCTTTCATTTCTTTCCTATCTTCCTTCCTTCCTTCCTTCCTCCCTACCTGTCATTTTCTTCCTCCCTCTCTCCCTTTCTTCCTCCTTATTCCTTCCTTCTTTCCTCCCTCCCTCCCTCCTTATTTTCTCCAATATTGTTTCTGTAGATTTCTCAACCTCAACAACTTGAAGATGTGTGGACTTCAACTCCCAGAATTCCCCAGCCAGCATTAGAATTCTGGGAATTGAAGTCCACATATCTGAATTTGCCGAGGTTGACAAACATTGGTCTAGATCAGTGGTTCTCAACCTTTTTAAGGCCGTGACCCCCAACCGGTCGTAAGTCGAGGACTACTCAACTGGTCGTAAGTCGAGGACTACTCAACTGGTGCAGCACCGTTTGCAGAATGGGACTTTTGGCGGGCTCAGCAGGGCAGAGACAGCCTGGACAATTCCTATTGGCTTTTGAAAGCCAATAGAATTAGACTCTATTCAAGAGAGTCTATTCTATTGGCTTTCAAAAGCCAATAGAATAAAAGGGAGTAGCACAGCTAAGGAAAAGGGGGAAAAAATGGCGGACTGCATTGTTTGGCGACCCCTGTGAAATGGTCGTTCGACCCCAAATGGGGTCCCGACCCACAGGTTGAGAACCACTGGTCTAGATTATGGGCCATTGGGGCTAGGCCCTTGATTGGGTCACATCTTGGTAGTCTTCTCACCACCAATGTGGGATGTCATTTCCAGGAGCTTCTCCTTATAATGAGAGTCTTCCAAGACTCACTTCTCAGATCCTATGTTTTCTCCCACTTCCCTGAAGTGCCCTGATTCACAATCAAATATGATAATCTCATTGTCATACTGGGGATTCTCACATCTACCAATTTTTGGAGGTACTTAGTTAACCAAGATTACTAATGTAATCTTTTGGGAGTTTTGCTCTGATTCGTGTGTCTTATTGTGGTATGAAGCTTTCACGGCCTCCTTTTTTCAGCTTTTATATTATCACGAGGATCTAAAAAAGATGTTGAGACTCTAGAAAGAGGGCAGAAAAGAGCAAGAAAGATGATTAAGGGACTGGAAGCTAAAATGTATGTAGAAGGGGCTGCTACAAAGAAGAGGGAGTCAAGCAATTCTCCAAAGCACCTGAAGGCAGGACAAGAAGCAATGGATGGAAACTAATAAAGGAGAGAAGCAACCTAGAACTAAGGAGAAACTTCTTGACAGTTAGAACAATTAACCAGTGGAACAACCTGCCTCCAGAAGCTGTGAATGCTCCAACACTGGAAGTTTTTAAGAAGAGACTGGACAGCCATTTGTCTGAAATGGTATAGGGTTTCCTGCCTGAGCAGGGGGTTGGACTAGATGACCTGCAAGGTCCCTTCCAACTTTATTATTATTATTAAGGTTTGCAGGAATGGTTCCAATCCTGCCTTAGGCATGAAAGCCAACTGGGTGACTTTGGGCCAGTCACTAGGAGACTGTGAGTTCTAATTCTGCCTTAGCTCTGAAAGTGATTTTGGGCCAGTCACTTTCAGCCCAACTCACCTCACAGGTCGTTGTGAGGAAAATAGAAGGAGGAAGATGTGTTGAATAGGTTCATTGCCTTGATTTATTTGTAAAAATTAGAAAGGTAAAAACTTAAGGTAATTACGGAATCAATCCATTTTGGGGGGGTTAGCCCAAAACACTGAAACATGATCAAACTGGGTTTGCCAAGGCACTCTAAAAAAATGGTCTCAATCCTAGCCAAGCTGACTAAAGTTGTGCAAACATAAAACTCTGCAGTTGGCCCTGATCTGATTAAGTTCAATCGGTTTAAACTCTCCGTTTACTTCCAAACGTTGGTGAAGCAACATCTGAGTTTCACCTAGTGTACCTGAGTTATGTGTGAAGCTACCCAAAGGCCTGCTTTTTTTTTCAACTGGTGTTTTGCCTCCAGTTGTAATGCAGGCTTGTATTTGGATGCTAATGTGGCTGCGTTCATCGCTTAGAATCAAATGTTCTGTTATGTCATGCACAGGCAGAGTCTCCTGTGTCGTTTAACTTTAGAGCCAATGGGAACTGGCTTTTTTTGGGGGGGGGGAATTTTGGAATTCTCACAGAATCACAGGGCTAGAAGGGACTTTGGGACTTAGGAGATCATCTAGTCCAGGGCTTTTCATCCTTTTCACCCATTGTACCACTTTTAGGATATGGCAACATCCGAGTACCACCAGTTGCCTAGCAAGGTGTCAAAAACTTGGTGACCAAAAAAAAAAAAAAAGGAAAAAAGTGATAAAGTAACAGGTAGTCCTCCACTTACAACAGTTCGCTTAGTGACTGTTCGAAGTTACAATGGCACTGAAAAAAGTGCCCCCCAAGCTACAGCCGAGCAAGACACCTGCCTGCCGGCCCGGCGGCACTCTTCCTCCTGTCCAAGGTTTTCATTGTTGTGAGTATTTCTGTTGAGAATTGGCAGCGGGGTTGGTGTTTGGTTTTTATTCCCCCATCCACTGGGTGGTTGCAGCAGGTTTTGGTCATGTCACATGACCCTCGGACACTGTGACCGTCATAAATATGAATCAGTTGCCAAGCATCTGAATGTAAATCACAAGACTCTGGAGATGCTGCAACATTCCAGCTGATGGGCACTTCTTCTGGGCTCAGCAGAAGCACCAGGATCAGTGCCAAGCTCCAGCTGGAGCCTGGCGCTGATCCTGGCGCTGCCACTGAGCCCTGACAGCCCCGAAGAAGCGCCCATCAGCTGGAAAGCGGCACTGATCCTGGCGCTGCCGCTGAGCCCTGACAGCCCTGCAGCTCCAGTCATCTCTCGCTCGGGCTTGTGCAGTGCTGCCACCGGTTCAGCTCATTCCCCTCCCCTGCTACCACTTTTCTAAGATGGTCGTGTACCGCTTGCCAGGTGCCAATGTACTACAGATGGTACCCGTACCACTGGTTGAAAAGCCCTGTTCTAGTCCAACCCCCTACTCAGGCCGGAAGCACAATACCATTTCAAACAAATGGTTGTCCAGTCTCTTCTTAAAAACTTCCAGTGTTGGAGCAAAATCCATAAGGAAGCTAGATTCACTTAACAACTGTATTACTAACTTAACAATTGCAGTGATTCACTTAATATCTGTGGCAAGAAAGATCATAAAATGGGGCAAACTCAATAAATATCTTACTTATTAGCAATGTAAATTTTGGGCTCAGCTGCAGTTGTGAGTCAAGGACTATTTGTATTGGAAGACTTTTATCATGACTCTGCTAAGTCTTGTCTTCATTATACTGGGCATACCTAGTTTCCTCCACACCCTTTATCATCTTTGTGGCTCTTTGCACAATTTCCAGGGCCTCAGCATCTTTTTTTGTATTGTGTTGACCAGAACAGGGCGCAGTATTCCAAGTATGGCCTCATCAGCGTACTACAGAGTGATCGGTGGTCGTCATTTTTCAGATATTCTCCCACCGAACTACATTCCCTCAGAAGTGCTTTGCAAAAAATAAAATCTACTGGGAAGACTCCCATGGGCACTAAATGGGAAAATGGGAATTCTGGGAACTTACAGGCTTCTAGAGAAATGCTACAGTGAGCAACAGAAGATGCAGGCCCTGACTGTGGCATTATACGTCACCATGATGGCACAATGTTAAGAATGCAGTATTGCAGGCAAACTCTGCCCACAGCCAGGAGTTTGAGTTTGACCAGCTCAAGGTTGACTCAACCTTCCATCCTTCCAAGGTCGGTAAAATGAGGACCCAGGTTGTTGGGGGACAATATGCTGACTCTGTAAACCACTTAGAGAGGCTGTAAAGCACTAGGGGGGTATAAAAGTCTAATTACCATTGCTACGTTGGAGATGACCAGGCTGAGCCCGAAGGAGGAGTCAAATGTGTCATCAGTCATGAGTCCCTGGGCACCTGCAAGAGCTCTAAATCCAGCCCACCTTGAATGCCTTCTTAATTCCCGTGCATTAGTAGGTCAGATTTTTATAGAGAGCTTAAGCGTGCAATAAATCTTTATACTCATTTGAACTGCCTGAATCTCCTGATTTTTCCCAGCACTTGACACGCTGTGAAAAAATAAGTTTTAAAAAAACTGTGGCTTGCTCCTGAAATTTTGTCTTCCCCTTGGAAAGAAATTTCAAAAACCAATGCTCTTTTCCTCTGATGGAATCTATAACGAGAAAAAAAAAGGGGGGGGAGATCATTTCTCTGCTCAGCAGTAGCTAATTTGTAAATTAAAAGACTGTTCTGTACAACTGGCAGGGTAAGAAACTCACTCTGATTTTTTTTTCTTTTATCTTCCCAAGCGTTTGCAGTTGTCGGTCTACTTCTGAACCAGTAGAAGAAAAAAAAAAGACTCAGAATGTGGCTTTTAGAGAAAATCCGAGGCTCAGTGGACAACAGCGGTTCTCGCGGCAACGACTCGGCCGATAAGCAGTCCAAGGGACCATTGTACAGCAACGTCCTGACGCCGGATAAAATCCCGGATTTTTTCATTCCTCCCAAGCTGCCAACGGTACCTCCTGAGGCAGAGGAAGGGAACATCAAACCGAATCTGGGCACTTCGGCCTCTGAGCAGAATTTATCTGCCCGCAAAACTCAGCGCAGCCCTCGTTTGCCCGTGAAGGCCGTTTCGGAGAGCAAAAACCTTCTGAAAGCCGCCAGCCGACACATCATTCAGATTGAGAGCGCGGATGAATGGATGTCTGAAGAAGACTACAGTACCAATGCAGACCCACAGTCCCAGACGGCTATGTCGCTGCCGTATGTCCCCAAAGCACAGACCTCGTATGGCTTCGCGACATTGATGGAGAGTCCTCACACACGCCGCAAGGAGTCTCTTTTCCACAGCGAGCATACCAGCCTGTGCCCATCCCAGTCCTCCTCGCCCAGTTCTCAACGGAGGTCCACCTCAGGAGGGGGCAAGACAAATGGAGAGAGCACCCACCTCAACCCTTCGGACATCAGCATGTCGCTCATGAATCCCTACCGTTACTTCAGTGGAGGGGAGAGCGATACCTGCTCCTCCGCGGAGTCCTCTCCCTTCGGTTCCCCACTGCTGTCCAGGTCGGTATCTCTTCTGAAGATCTTCAGCCAGGAGAGTCAATCCAAGGTCATCAAACTCAAACACTCGGTGGCTCGCAACAGTTCCCTGTCCACCGACGATAGTTCAGCGGACACCAGTCCTAGCTCCCAGCGCCGCATGCGCTGTGCGACCCCTCCAACTGGGGGAGCCACCGGCGGGATGCAACCTCAGCCCCTCACCCCTGCGGACCCCCAAGACAAATTCCACAAGGAACACGTGCTCAGTTTTATCAAAGGAGGCAGCCTCCGCTTGGTGGCCCAATACAATCCGTCCAACGCCCGGCTGAGAGTGCGAGTTGTGGCCGCCGAAGACCTCTACGACAAGCACTGTGACATCAGGAGCATCAACTGTTGTGTGTCTCTCTATTTAAACCCTGGCAAGCTGCAGAAACAACGGAGCACGATCATCAAGAACAGCCGCAACCCCATCTTCAACGAAGATTTCTTTTTCGACGGGTTAGGCATCAGCAACATGAGGAAAATGTCCCTCAAGGTCAAAGTGGTCAACAAAGGCAGCAGTCTCAAACGGGACACTCTGATGGGCGAGAAGGAACTGCCCCTCCCTTCCTTGCTCCCCCTTTTATAAAGTCTCCCCTGTCCCGGTCTTGGTGCCTGCCACTAACCCCAGTGGGCTTCTTTCCTGCTCTGCAAACCGGGAAGGGTTGGAGAGCTGCTCACGCAGATTCCTCCAAGGCCAGTCAGCGTTTCCTTAAAATGGGTGTTGCATGTTTGAGGTCCACGAATGGGGCATCCCGGCATTTTCGCATGAAACCTCAGCAGCTAGCAGCGTGACCCTATTTTCTTAGAAGGTCAGGATATTCTTTGTCCCTTGGGTCAAGAGGTGTCACTTGGTCACTGCGAGCTGATCTTCTTTCGCTGTGACCATGTTGGAGGTAGAGGGGAAGAGGACCTGGGAATTTGAAAGGAACCAGGAAGGTTCCTTCAAATGGCTTCCCTCGGGGTAGGAAGTGGGCGCATGAATAACCCTGTTTTTAAGCCTCTTCCTCACAAATGCATGCCGAGAATCTGAGGATATATCCCTTTAAGATGCATGCTGGCTGCATTTGATTATGTCACGTCGTTCAGCAACTGCCAATCTGCTGGAAGATGACCTCAGCAGCCCACTTGACTTCTGCGGAAGGGACGGAGGGATGTGATCGCCTGTTTCACTCACCCAGGAAACTTCTTCACTTCCCAAATGAGTGCAAATTCTAGTTTTTGATTTGGGAACTAGTGTCAAAGTGTGCTTTCTGAAAGAGAAGTTGGCAGGAGAATGAGTTGGACCCAGAAGACCTTCTGAAGCCCAGCTGATGATCCAGCAATTGTCCCAAAAAAGGCTGTTTTGCAAGATTTGGGGGATGGGACAGGGATCCCAGCCTCCCTGCTCTGTTTGACTTCAGAGGAAATTGCAGAAAAATCAGAGTGAGGCCCGATACGACTTTCAACCCGGGAGCCAAAAAAAAAATGGACCTATGGATGGTCTGGAGAGTAGATCAAAATGAAGGAAGACACACAGAGAGATAACAAAGGAAAGAAGAAGATAGGGAAGATAGGCCGTGATTATTTTTTAATATTTTGATATCCTGGCCTGAGAGACAATCCTCAATAATAATGAATAATGATAATTTTAAACGTGGGCTGGGTGATACTCACGGAATTGCCTTATCCTGCACTGTTCTGCTTTGAGTATGTGGAGACTCAGATCATTCCCAGCCTTAAGAGTTCGGAGTCTTTCAATCTGCACTTCAGATGGCTTGAACCCATCTGAAGATAAAACTCAGATGGATGGGTCTGAGGAAACACAGAGTCCTTATTGGGACATCCAACCTTCCATGCAAACAAGAAAGGGGAAAACAAATCAGTGTTAGCCTCTACAGCAGTATTTTTCAAACTTGACAGCTTTAAGATGGATGGGCTTCAACTCCCAAATTCCCCAGTCAACATGCTTTAAGGTGGCTGGACTTCAACTCCCAGAATCCCCCAGCCAGCCATGAGGGCTGAGGAATTCTGGGAGTTGAAGTCCACAATCTTAAATTTGCCAAGTTTGGAAAAACACCGCTCTGCAGGGTGTTCTTTGGGGACATTCAGGTTGAAACTTGGAAATGCTGAAGATAGAACTCAAGGCCTTCTACAAGTCAAGAAGACAAGTTGTTTTTCCTTTTTAATATTAACTCCATTTTCCTAAGGAGCAAAAAAACAAAACCATCTCTTGTGCCAAGAATCAGTTCTCTTCATTGCAAACACCCACCTCTCCTAAGTGTGTAGGTAGGCGCTGTTCTTGACAAACCTTAGGATCACGATCAAAGAACCATTGAGCAAACAGCTCGGCAATCCTTAGTTTGCAATCCCTAAACCAGGGGTGGGGAACCTTGGCTCTTTTATGACTTGACTTCAACTCCCAGAATTCCGGAGCCAGCCACGCTAAGGGGACAGGGAGAGGTTTCCAAGCTGAGCCATTCTGTCTCAGGAATTCTGGGAGTTGAAGTCCATAAGTCGTAAAAGAGCCAAGGTTCCCCACCCCTGCGCCCAAACGAATACCTACATAAGAATTTAAAGTGAAGATCCATTGGGATCCGTAGACTGAAATACAGCTTGTCCTCAATTAACAACCACTCATTCAGTGACAGTTTGAAGTTAATGATGGCATTGTAAAAGTGGTCCTTGAGGTTCTGGCTATCCCAGCATCCTGCGCTCACAGGATTGTAATTTAGGCATTTGGTAACTGGCTCACGCTTATGACAGGCAGCCTTCTGCAGTCACGTGACCTCTATTGTGATGTTCCCTGCTGGCTTCCCAAGTAAAGTCAATGGGGAAGCCAGCAGGGAAGGTCACACTCTGGTAAGTCACTCACATTCCAGAGGCTTTTTGCACTGTGGGGCCCAGCCAGTGGTGGGATTCAAATCCCTGAACAACTGGTTCTCTGCGTGGATGCAGGCCTGGGTCTCCGAGGCCTAGAACAGACTTCCGGAAGTGGCATCCCCGCATTTCCGGCAGGCTGTTCTTGTCCTGGGATGCCTCTTTCAGGCCTCCAAGGCTAGAACGGACTTCCGGAAGTGACATCCCCACACTTCTGGTAGGCTGTTCTTGTCCTGGGAGGCCTCCTTCAGGCCTCTGAGGCCTAGAACGGACTTCCGGAATTGGCATCCCCGCACTTCCGGTGGGCCGTTCTAGGCCTGGGAGACCTTCTCCAGGACTGCATTCAGCCGGTTCTCCGAACTCAACAAAGTTTAGCTACCGGTTCTGCTGAACCGGTGCGAACTGGCTGAATCCCATCACTGGGCCTAACTCCCCATTGGCTACTTGTGCACCCTGGCACACCTGGAAGCAGCCATCTCTGGCCCTGCCGCGCTTACACACATGCACCCTCATGCACCAGGCAACAACCACCCCTGGTTCTGTACTTGTGTTGTGCCAATCACTTGCGCATCCTTGCGCACCCTTCCCCACTCAGCAACAGCTACCTAGCCGCCTGCAAGCGGAGTTACAAATCACTGGGAACATACGACTCTCTGCAGGCTTCCCCACTGACCTTGCTGGTTGCAAGCCAGCAGGAAGTTACAAGATCCTCACTTAACAATCCACAACCTTTGCTTAGTTTACAGTAACAGGGACTGCTGGAATTGCTGTTGAGAAGCAATGCAGTCACACGATGTTGCACTTTAGGACGGCATTGCTTAGTGATGGAAATTCTGGCCCCATTGCGGTCATAATGTGAGGACCGTATGCACTGGGCCTACATCATGGTGGATACCCACTTTTTAAGGCAGGTTTTTTGAATACTGGGAAATCCCTATATCTCCTTATTAATGAACAGGGTCTTCCAATGTTTAATCCAATTCTCAGATTTGCTCCTTGTGTCAATACAGGTAGTCCTCGACTTAACAACCACAACTGAGCCCAAATAAATGTAGGGAGAGAGCAAAGAAAAAAAGAGGCAGTGATGTCCAATTTTTCTTGGTGCATTACACACAGGTAGGCCTCGACTTACTACCATTTGTTTAGTGACAGCTCAAAGGCGCTGAGAAAAGTGACTTACGACCTTTGCAGCATCCCTGGGGTCATGAGATCAACATTCAGACACTTGGCAACTGACTCATATTTATGACGGCCGCAGTGTCCCGGGGGTCACGTGATCCCCTTTTAGGACCCTCTGCTAAGCCAAGTCAATGGGGGGAACCGGATTCACTTAACAACCAGGTCACTAACTTAACAGCTGCAGGATTCACTTAGCAGCTGTGGCAAGGAAGGTTGTAAAATGAGGCCAAGCTAACAATGGTTTTGCTTAGCCATGGAAATTTGGGGCTCAACTGTCGTAATTTGAGGACTATCTGCACTAGTTATCTTCTTCTCCCTTCCTCTCAACATAAACCCATTTCTACAAGCTTTAGTATCTTTGGGTCTGTGAAGAGCCCAGAAACGGGAGATTTTTTTTGACCTGGAGATTGAAATTTTTTTCCCCTCCGCCTCAGACCTCAAAAGCAGACAAAATCTAAGTTAATCCTTTCTCCTTTCTCCCCCCCCCCCTTTAAATCTTGTTAACAGAGTTCCAAGCCTAGTTTTGCCTTGCTTTTTAAATGTCGTTTTGCATTCGCTCAGACTCCTGGATTATAAATTTGTATGGATGCCAGGAGGGGAGAGCTTTTTAATCCGAAAACTGTATTTATTTGCTTGTTTTGTTTACGATATCTATCCAAATAAGTATCGGTCAGTTATTTATCTTATCGATTTCTATTTTCTGCATGATTTTAGTTGGAGACGAATGTACCAGCCGATGCATTTTTTTTGTACCGTTGCTCTGTCAGCAAAGGCATTCTTCTCATTGATCGAGGTGTCTCTATATCTAATTTATCTATATAGATACGACTTATTGCTGTATTTTGATCCTGTGTAATCTGGATACCGACAAACAGTTTTGGAATTATGTTTCTTGCTATATGAAGCTGTTTCTCCTTTTTCTTTCTCTGTTTTTCTTGTTCCGGTGTGTGTGTGTGTGTGTGTGTGTGTGTGTGTGTATGTGTGTATGTGTGCGTGTCTGCATGCATGCCATGCTATAACATAGGGTTGTCAAACTCAATTTCATTGAGGGCCACATCAGCATTGCAGTTGCCCTCGGGGGGCTGGGTGGGTGTGGCCAGGGTGGGTGCAGCCTACTGAGTGGGCGTGGAGTGAATGGGTGTGGCCTACTGGGTGGGCATGGCCAGCTCTACATCATTCGCGTCAAGGGTGCCTGTGGGGGCCTGGGCAGGAGTGGGACAGATCTGAGGGTCTCTGGACGAAGGGGGTGGGACCGGGGCAAGCGCCAAGGCATGGTCCATTTCTTCATTCCTCACAAAGGGTGACACCTCCCCAGCATGCACCCAGGGAGTGGGGCTGACATGGCAGGGGCTGGTTCCTCGCTGTTTCCAGACAGCCTTATGGAGCTAAGACTGAATGCGTTTCAGCATAGATGGCCACCACAAAATTGTACATTGGCTCCCGGCCGGCCTGGGCCAGGGCCAAGGCAATGGGGGCCATTCCCTCACTGTTTCCAGGATGGCTTTGCAGGCCACATGAAACCACAGGCCGCATCCGGCCCCTGGGCCGTGTGTTTGACATGTCTGCTATAACATAATAACATTGAACATTGTAGGATCCGATCTGGGTAGATCACTGGGACATGGACTCATGCTGGAGTCCATCCTTAGAGAACTTCTCTCTGGCAGAATCCGTGCTGTTCTGTGTGTGATACTTCTATGGTGCCTGTTGTATGTGGCTTTTTAGATGTTGATTGAGGTTTATTGATGGTTGTCTATTAGGTCAGTGGCAGTTGTTTGCTTCGCCTTCTAAGTACTTGATAAGCTGGTGTTAAATTGGCATTTCTTTTGATTGGCAAGGGACCCGTTTCTCAGATTTCAATCATTTCCCTGGCTGTTTTTGTACCTGCTCGTCCAACAATCTTAGTAGCTGCAAAATTGAATGTATGTCCTTGTTGGTTGCAATGTGAGGCTACTGATGAGTTTAGGTCTCCTTGTCAGATGATTTACCACCAGCTTATCAGGTACTTAGAAAGCGAGAGCTGGGCAGCACAAGCAAAGGATAGTGTCAGAGCATGCACAATCTTATTGCGCTGAGATAACCCAGGAGTAAACACAGTAAACAGTGGTTTGTATTAAATAGTGGTTTACCTTACACTAGCTACAATATCATACACCAGGAACGATATACATATATGTGCTAATACAGCAGGATCCAACAAACCACAATTACAGCAGGAAACAGAAGAGAGAGAACACATCAGTGGAACTTTCCCTTTTATACAGACCCAGCTTGCTCTTAAAGAGACACAGACCCTGCTGAATCATTCCCATCATTACATCTTACATTACACAAGCTGGTTAGCTTGTAAATCATTACCTTGACAGACAGCCAGTGACTTGAAAGCCACCTATCAACACACCCCAATCTACATCTAAAAAGGCAACAGGCACCATATAAACACCACACACAGAACAGCACACATGGCTGACTGGGGAATTCTGGGAAGTGAAGTCCACAAGTCTTAAAAGTTGCCAAGATGGACACCCCTGGTGTAAAAGGATTAGCAGATATTTGCTACTCCGCAGAATTATTTTCAGAGCTGGGGTGACTTCACGAAATATTAATAAATATTCCAACTGCTTTATTAGTTGCAGATGAGTCCCAGGGAGGGAGGGAGGGAGGGAGAGAGAGAGAGAGATAGAGAGAGAGAGAGAACAATCTCGTTCCGTTCCATTCCATTACATTCTTCTTATTCTATCCTATATTCTATATTCTGTATACTATATTCTATATTCTATTCCCGTGTTGGCGAACCTATGGCACGCATGCCACAGGTGGCACGCAGAGCCCTCTCTGTGGGCACGCGTGCCGTCGCCCCAGTCCTAGGGCTTCAGCCGGGTTTTATAAACCTTTTCACTTTAGGCCGCCGCTGTGTGCAAAAAAAAAAAGGTTCAATCAATCAATCAATTTCAACTTCTCGTGGGAAAAAAAAGATCTCGCAAAGTTGGAATAGATTGATTGAACTTTTTAGTCCCACCCAGTCTGCTGTTAACACCGCAGCCATGCCCACCCAATGGGCCACACCCACCCAATGGGCCACACCCACCCAATGGGCCATGTCCACCCGGCACCCAATGATACATAAGCGGTTTACAGAGTCAGCCTTTTGCCCCTAACAATTAACTTATTAAATTTATTGACTTATGTTTCCCTTTGTGTGCAATGTGGCTCACAAATTGTAGAGGTGACATGCAGAGGGATTGGAAAAAGATCCAGCAGTCTGATTCTGATTCACCTCCCAGCCAAAGCTGCTTTTCCCTCCAAACTACCAGAACGTTGCACGAAGATCACAGCGGATGAATCATGTCTCCTGAAGTCCCAAATCTCTTTTGAAGGCTACCGTCTGAAAACAAAACGAACAAAGCCGGTGGATTGTTTAATATTCGGGGAAAAGACGATTTGGGTGCCCAGCAGGCATGACAAAGCGGGGAGAAATCTTATTTCTTTTGTGACGATTTGATCAACGGGGGAATGGGACACAAAGCATTGGTGAACCTGCCTTCTCCCCTCTGCAGTGGCCAGAATATTCATATCACGCGCTTCAAGTGTGACTGCAAATGGATAGTTTGGCAGCCTGATTATTTGTGCATGTTTTTTCCCCCAGAGGGAATAATGGATTTCTAGCATATTCTGTTAAGCCTGAAATCTCGTACAGGTAGCGCTCCAAATTTAGCAACTTTAAGACTTGTGGACTTAATAATAATAATAATAATAATAATAATAATAATAATAATAATAATAATAATAATAATAATAAAGTTGGAAGGGACCTTGGGGGTCATCTAGTCCAACCCCCTGCTCAGGCAGGAACGCTACACCATTTCGGACAAATGGCTGTCTAGTCTCTTCTTAAAAACTTCCAGTGTTGGAGCATTCGCCGCTTCTGGAGGCAGGTTGTTCCACTGGTTAATTGTTCTGACTGTCAGGAAGTTTCTCCTTAGTTCTAAGTTGCTTCTCTGCTTGACTAGTTTCCATCCGTTGCTTCTTGTCCTGCCTTCAGGCGCTTTGGAGAACAGCTTGACTCCCTCTTCTTTGGGGCAGCCCCTGAGATATTGGAAGACTGCTATCATGTCCCCCCTCGTCCTTCTCTTCATTAAACTAGAGATACCCAATTCCAGCAACCGTTCCTTATATGTTTTAGCCTCCAGCCCCCTGATCCTAGGCCTTTGAACTATGGTGCTGGAGAAGACTCCTGCGAGTCCCTTGGACTGCAAGGCGTTCAAACCGGTCAGTCCTAGAAGAGATCAACCCCGACTGCTCTTTAGAAGGCCAGATCCTGAAGTTGAAACTCAAGTACTTTGGCCACCTAATGAGAAGGAAGGATTCACTGGAGAAGAGCCTAATGTTGGGAAAGATTGAGGGCAGTAGAAGAAGGGGACGACAGAGAATGAAATGGCTGGATGGAGTCACTGAAGCAGTAGGTGTGAATTTAAATGGACTCCAGAAGATGGTAGAGGACAGGAAGACCTGGAGGAACATTGCCCATGGGGTCGCGACGGGTCGGACACGACTTCGCAATTAACAACAACAACAACCCCTGATCCTCTTTGTTGCTCTTCTCTGTACTCTTTCTAGAGTCTCAACATCTTTTTTACATCGTGGTGACCAAAACTGGATGCCGTATTCCAAGTGTGGCCTTACCAAGGCATTGTAAAGTGGTATTAACACTTCACATGATCTTGATTCTCTCCCTCTGTTAATGCAGCCTTCAACTCCCAGAATCCCTCAGCCATGAAGTCCATGAAGTTCACAGGTTTAGAGCCCCCTGTTCTAGTCCATCACCTGCTCACACTGCCAGACCCAAACTATATGAGTTTTTGCTTGCTGATTCTCACCCTCAAAGATCCCTGCTTTGAGTTGACCTCTTGCATCACCTTCCAGCAGGATGAAACACCAATAAACAGACCTCACTTTTAGCCTAGGTTGTCATGTTACATGAATCCAATCCGTAGGTTGGATGACCGAGGAGTAGCTTTTGATATGCTAACCACTGCACCATACTGCCAT